ATAAAAGTGGTTTTAATAGAGGAAGGATAGAAATCAGCTTTCTGGAAAATTTATGGATATCGAATTATTTGCCTGCCTAGAATTTGGAATAAATGAAAAGTAAAGCATCATATGGAGGTCATGTACCCCATAGTAATGACCCTGAGGGACAAAAGTAATTTGAAAAAGCACTTAACTAAAGATAAGCTCAATTTCTTCCTCTCTCCTCTCCTCGTGCTCTTATATCTAGGTAGGTTTGGGCCTTCTGGGCAAATTTCTGATGATGCATCAGTGCATAAAATTAATGAAAAACCAGGCAAACTTGTAGAAAGGATGTATTATGTTCAACTTGGGAAATGTAAGATAGTTCCTTTGAAGCAGAATATGCTCTCTTCTTTTTTATAGTTTTGGGGGTTTTTGTTGTTGTTCACACTCCAAATTGGGCTTAGATTTATTAGTGGACAAAGAAATTATTTCTGGCAGCATAGTGATGGTGACTGAGTCTTTCCACCGAACCAGCAGGTGTCTGGTCAAAGTTGGAGAGCATCAGATCTAGGGCAAGTGAGTTCCTGCTCCTCAGAGTCTGACTTTCTCCTGGCCACAACAGTGACAGATCACAGGTAGACCAGGTGACCATCACCCTTGGCCTTCAGGGGTACAGGAGGCCCAGGCCAACTGAGGTTGGGACAAAGTGTGGGCACTCTCTGCGACCCTGACTCCTATGGAGGGGTCAGGCAGCCAGCCGGCACCAGGTAGCTTCCAGTGGTTACCAGGCAGACCCAGTTCATGTTGCCTTCCAGCACATCCGCTGGGGGTGGGGGGTGGGGCGTAGGGAAGGAAGGACAGCAAGGCGCTGCTGTGGGAACTGGGACCAGAGGGGTCTGTGCACTCTAACCCCGCCACGAAGCCTGAAATGAGAGTGAATCTAGTATCCTGTGCAAAGAACGTTAGCAGGAATATGCAATCTTGCCCGGCTGTCAGGGCCAGCAGTCTATCCTCCCAGAATGTGATCCTGCCGAGGTGGCCCCCTTCCTGGTGAGGAAGGCGTTTGAACACCATGGCTCCCCCACTCGCTTTTCCTTCACAGGCTCTCCAGGTTGTCTTTGCTTTAGCTTCTGAGTATAAAGAAGAAAAATTGTATGGATGTGGTGAGCACAGGTTGCTCTGAAAAGTGCATTGAGTTCCTGAGAAACAAAGTAAGATCGAGTCAGAGACTTTTAGTTCCCCAACATTTAACCCAGCCTCTGATGTCTTATCATCACTCAGGGGCACTGTTTGCTGATTGGATGAAAACATCATGGCCGGTGACGGTACGCCGAGCCTACTGATGTTTACTTGAGGGGACGGCACTCTTGCCCGTGCTATACGCACTCCTATAAACCGTGCTATACGCACTCCTATAAACCGTGCTATAGGCCCATGCTGTAAGCACTGCTGAAGTCGACTATATGCCAGTGATTTCCCCAGGGAACATGACACAGCATATAGTAATAACAGTCCCTTTTCAGAGTGAGGTTTTACTGTAACCTGAGACCGCCTGCACATGAGAAATACAGGTGGGGAATTGACCCATCCGAGATTAGAGGGGATGGCCGTGTGTCTTTCCCTCATCCTCAGGCTCAGCCTTCTGAAGGCCTCATGTGGAGTTTCATGTACTAAGTAATTCTTTTCTTTTTTTTTTTTTTTTTTAAGATTTTGTTAATTTATTTGACAGAGAGAGACAGTGAGAGAGGGAACACAGGCAGGGGGGGTGGGAGAGGGAGAAGCAGGCTTCCTGCAGAGCAGGGAGCCTGATGCGGGGCTTGATCCCAGGACCCTGAGATCATGACCTGAGCCAAAGGCAGCCGCCCAACCAACTGAGCCACCCAGGTGCCCCCTAAGTAATTATTTTCATGTACTAAGTAATTATCAAGGACCTGGCTACGTGGGGGCTACTTCTGCAGGACAGAAGAGGTTGTGGTTACAGCCCTCAAGATGCTCGTTTTCCAGTAAGGGACAGAGGCACGTACTTGTGATCACAATGAACTACAGAATTTGGAAGTGTTGTCGGTCTCTAGGGAATAGAATCTCTCCACATAAGGAATTAGGGAAGACTCCAGATGAAGGAGGTGAGGTTTGACCTTGACCTTGAGGAATGGATAGGAATGAGATGGGTAGGGATGGGAGTGGAGAGGCCAGTGGAGAGGTGGGGAGAAAAGCAAGAGAAGAGGGAAAGGATGAGTTGGATTTGGGGAGCAGTGAGTTTGCCAGAGGTTGGACTGGAAGGGGAAGGAGGCCCGACTTGGAGACCCCTGGGTATCACCCCAGGACTGTGAATGACTCCCGCACCACTGTCTTTTTTAATGCTATGTAGGAAGCACCACAGCTCTTCCTTGGCCCCAGCAAATGTACTGGGGAACAGACAAATTCTTTCACGGAGAAGTTGAAAGTGCTTGGAAGGTTTTCACCAGGTCATTTCCAGTTGTCTCGGGTCCTCTCTTCATTCTCTCTCAGTGGGAAAATGTACCGATTGGTGATGGAGCTGAGAAGGCAGAGAACTTTTGACCCCGATGTAGATGGCAGCCGTAGGATCCTATGCTTTGATAGATGGGCTAAAACCCAGAGCAATGAGTCCCACTTCCCCAGTCAAAATAAACTGGGTGTGTTTCTTTTACGGGTGTTATACAATCACGTCTGAATGCTCTACCTTATTGATTCGGTTTAATGCTCTTAGACATGCCATCTTGTTGTTTGTTCAGAGAGTTTTTATCTGATTGCAAATACTCAGCCTGAGTTAATGTTTTATGAGGCTCAGTCATAACTGGAGGCTAGACATATGACAGAAGCCATGGCTATTTTTTTAAGACAATTTTGCTGCACATGGGACCGTTTCGATTGAGAAACACAAACCCCCATTCAAGTACAAGTCCCGCTTGTTTTTATTCGCCATTCCTACCGGTGATCATGAATTTTAACAAATTTTCTAGTTACTTAGTCCATTGCCCTCCAAAGACCGTATTAATAACTCATTTCATTAACTTACAAACTGACAAAATGACTATTGCATCCCAGGCACTGAGGTAAGAACTATACAAATAGTCAGCCACTTAGTCCTCTTAACAACCATTATGAAGTAGATGAGAGCATGCTTCCTATTTTACAGATAGGGAAATTGAGGGAGGGAGAAGTGAAGTAACTTGCCCAAGCTCACACGGATTGTATTCATTGCCACTTGAGTAAACATGCAAATTGGAGGTTGTGGTTAGTGGTTGTGCTCTCACCTTCGAGAAAATGCTCAAAAGACTTGCCTGGATGATTTTGCCGTGCCATGCTCCATGACAGAATTGTGTTCCTGGATCCTTTTAATAGAGGCTCATTCTCTCAGTTGATGTCTGTAGTTGTCCTTCAAGAAACTCAGTATTTTAACTGACTATAAATGCTTGAAAGTGAACAATTTCCATGTTGGCACAGCAAACACATCAACTATACCAAAGCCCAGGCCAGTCTAAATCAAGTCTTTTTTATGTCAGAAGCTGTGGCTGTTGGGAGTCGCATCTGCCCAAAGCGTGACTGGGACCATGCAGTTCGTAATAAACATGGAGCGGCATTTTCTGTGTGCCCAGCACCCTGCTGAGTCCATGACCTGGTTATTGTGTTTTATCCCCCAACAGCGGCACTAGGTGGGCCCTGGGATTATCTCCCTTCCTTCTACAAATATGGAAACTGAGGCTTAGTGATGGAGTGCCGATCACACAGCTAGGGAGCAGCAGAGCAGGGTTTTGAACCCGGGAGCTGTGTTTGGAGCCTGGGGCCTTGAGCTCGGTGCGTGCTGCCTCCCCTGGGGCTGTGTGGCTCTGCCGGTCCCCTGCCCGTGCTGTTCACCCACAGCATCTGCTGTCAGCAGGGACTAACAGGTGATCTTGATAAAGTTCTTGTAGCAGTTCTGCTATGCGTCTTAGTAGGGTCCCACTACCCTCCTGTGCTCTATACCAAGTATTTGAAGAGTTGGGTTTCACCCATCGTTCTTCCATTATCAACCTTACGTACGCCCAGCCTGAGGTCAGTATTTGCTGATTGACTGATTGACGGAATACCATTCCGCCCTGTTGGAGGGCAGCAAGGGCACCACGCGGCTGTGGGCGGGGCAGACAGGGACCCTGACAGAATGAATCCTGACACTGAATGTGGGAACGTTGTGGAGGGGTGTTTATGCTGTCCTGGGAGCCGCTCATCAAGCACTTGAGAAGTCTATGCACCCATTTATAGTAACTTCTACTCTTACTTTTAAACCGCGTTTTTTTTTTTCTTTATCAATCATGGTGTCCCTTCTGGGGAAGAATGCATGAACAAAGGAGGGACTGACCGAGTCCTTTATCACTTGACTCCTTGGATACAAAAACTTTAGGGTTGTTCCTGCCCCCTCTGCTACTTGGGATTGTATTTTCTTCACCTGGCTTTTCCTTCCTGTGTGCCTGGACTCTCCCCCCTCCCCTTCCCCCAGCCCCATCCCCCTCTCCCTCTCCTCCCTCTCTCCCATCCCTCCTGCTCCCATATCAGTCCTGGCAGTGACTGGACAGGTGGTGGCAAGAACTGCTGTTTTAGGTGATGCTACAGATGGTGTTAGCTTCCACAGCTTTAGGATGGAACTCTTCTTTAGGGAAATTAGGAGTTAAATCAGCTTTTGAGGAACTAGGGTCACCATGTATGCTATTAATGCAGGAACATGCATTCTGAGTCCTAATCAGACTTTAGGGCAGCGCAACCCACTGGAAACTGCGTATGTTTGAGAAGCTTCTATCATCCAAACACGTGCACTGGAATCCATTCCATGTCTGTTCTCATGACTGAGAATCATTTCTTGACTTCATTGTTTTCTTGAAATGCTGAATTGAAAATACAGTATTTAGGGAAATTACAATCCCAGTGCTAGCAATAGAGTCCCAGAGAGTTTTACTTTCCGGTTGGAGTTTCTCATTGATACATCATACCAACATCAGGGCAGGCTGGACATTAAGTGGTTTTCCTCTCTGTGTCTTTGACAGATGTGCCATCCCCACACCAGCGGGGCTCCAAGATGAAACCAATCGAAGAAGGGGTGGAAGATGACGATGAGGTCTTTGAGCCCGTGTCTCCAAACGCACTGAAAGTCCATCAGTTGCCTTGATCAGAGAGAGAGGTCAAGTGACCAAGATGGAAATTGTCTTGAAGAGATCCTGAAAAATACCAGCACTTCTTCCTGGCTTATTGATTAGTCTGCTATAGCACTGATAGTCTGAGGGCAGGAAAGTGAGGACAGTCAAAAAATGGGAAGGTTATTTGAGCTCTCCTTTTTATTGATCAGCTTTTTAAGCAATTATTTTACTGAGCCTTCTGACTAAACCTAGTTCTATTTTGAGATACATATTTTCACAGTGTTTTCTAGATATATTATTGTTTTAACTTAGCACTCTGTCAATGCAAATGCCTTTTCACTTATTTTTTCTGAGTTGTGGTTCATTTTCTCACAAATAGTTTTTTCTCCACTGTGGCAATGGGGTCGTCCATTTGATAGTTTTAACAAACAGGGCACGTTTGAAATGGAGGTTGAGGTATCATTAAAAAAGCAGGGAGTCTCAGGCCTTGTTCAACTGAATTTTGAAGCTAGAAGATTGTAAAGAAAGATGTGACGTGGCTGGTGTTTATTTTTTCTCCCAGGCCAAACACATTACTCCACTAGATCACCTTACTTATTTGGGCATTGTGTAGAGAGCCGGATAATGAGCAAAACTCATCAACCTTTGTTCACATTACCCTTATATTATGCTGTGTGTAATCAGGTCTGGAAACCAAAGCTGGAAAGATAACAGATGGAAGCAGTTCTGAATTCAGCTTGACCTTCAGCAAAACTCAGCTCACCTGTGATTTGGAGCCATCTTGTCCCCACACACCCCGGTGTGGGGAACGCTTTACTTGGGGTAGGGAGTCAAGTGATTAAACAAGTGTCACAGAAGGAAGTGAGTGAAAGAGCATTTTCATTCTGTGGTCTGAAGTTTCAGGAGGTTCCTCCAGAGCCATAGATGTCTCCTTAAAACGTGTACCAAATACCCAGGGCCAGGTTCGCAAATGTGAACCCAGCTTTGGGGGCAGACAGTTTCCCATAAGCCGTGCCATGGGCACCCAACCTAGATGTTGCTGTGAGGGCTTTGATCGTAAATCTCTCTTTCCTACTGGAATCACGTTTCAGGAAACAGTGGTATTCGGCTGGTGGGAAATGAGAAGTTTGCTGAAATCATCGGTCAGACTGGTCAGGGTGACCGGGGCACTCAATTGGGTGAAGCCCATTGATCGACTATGCTATATCATACATCATGCTGATTTTATTTTATCCACTAGAACCAACTTGAGTCAGTCCCCTGTTATAGTAAATGGCTAAAAAAAGTTCCCAATGAAGTTACTTTCAGGTAAGCTGAGCCCAAAGCAGCCTGTCTTGTCAAAAGGTGATTTCTGTCAGAGAAGGTAGATAAGCTACTCAAGGGTCACCTCACTTTCCTAAATCCATTTTTTTAGGCTAATTATTTTAGTAATTTCACTTGAGTTAAATTTACATGCTCGGTCACTCCTAAGAAAATTTCCACAGACTGGGAATCCAGCTCCTAACATCTTGATCAGATGTTGCGTTATTAACACCACAGTGGGAAGGCTGATTTCACTTCACGATTAGCGTGGCCTCTTCAGTTTCCTAAATTATAAATTTATTTGGGGGAAATGAAGCACAGGTGAATGGACTTAACCTGGGCTTTAAGACTGTAAAGATTCATTCGGTCCCTTGCTGTGCCTGAGCTCCCACGTGAGGTAACTGTAACGTAATGGCGCTGGTCCTGCGTTCCTCTAACTGTCGGGGTAAGGTCACGTAGACCATTTAGTTTCCACATGCAGAAGACTAATTTACAAAATCACTCTATAGAGTAATTAGATACGACACCCTTCCCTGAAGAGAAAGTAATTTTAGATTCTGCTGAGGCCACATCTTTAATGTTCTGTGGATCCACAGATGCTTGGGGTTTCTTAGCCTGACCCATCTTCAGGTGTGTCTCACTTTGCCATGATGAGACAGTGGGAAGGGTCATCTCTAATGATCCACATGCATGTGTTTAGAGGTTATTTTCTGCAGCACTGGGAAGAAACATTTTTAAAGGCACACTGCTAAAACTAGATGATCGGAATTCATTTACTGTTTTTATCAAAACCCGTGTGTGCTTGTGCGCGCACGTCAGTGTCATTCATAATGAAGATTGTAATCTCAAGCTTAGGAATCTTAAAAGAGCCACTTAGCCTGAATGGGAAACATGAAACTATTTTTAAATACACACGTCTAAGCAAGACAATGAGGCTCGGAGAAAAGGAGATGCAAGCCACTGAGTAGCCCTCCCACATAGACTTGATATCCAAGAAGCAGATAAGAAAACAGAAAAGAGTTTTAAGTGTAAGATCTCCTATGGATGGCTCTGAATTCATTTATACAAGTGAACAAGTGTATCTTTGTGTGAGGCATAAATACATAGACAAAAAAAAAAAACATGTTTGCTGCCAAAGCCACCAATAAGATGCTTCCTGTGCTTTTTGGTATTCACTTAGCTGTGTGACCAAGGTTCAGAAAATGATCTGCAAAAATTATTCTATATATAACCCCACATCTACTAGGTTTAAATGTAACATCGAGTCTGTTGTATGAATCAGGATTGTAACATTTATACCAGAATGTGTCATTTGTAATATTTTGAAAGCCCTCATATTTATAAAATAATAGCACAGATACTAGATAGAAACCCAATGATGTTTGTATATCTTAAATTAGTAATAATGGGTGCTATATAATTGTCAGTTACCACCCGTTGCTTTCTGGGATCTTCTTCACTGCTCCCTACGGTTCAGTTGCCCTTTCACCGTTGGACACCTTTGTGCTTCGCTGCCAATAGCCTGCACCCTGGAAGACACCGCCTTCCTATCTGGTTCTCCTTCCACATGTCTGAAGCTTTTCTGGTTTTATAACTTGGAACTGCTAATTCCTGCCTCCCAGGTCCTATCCTGGCCCCAAAGGCAGAGCCCTCTTGGATGCTGGAAAAAAAAATCTGTGGGGAAAGTTGATGTAACCTACACATTCTGCACTGTTCCTGGTGCACCCGGGGAATGACTCCAGCCTCCAGGGAAAATCGTCCTGCCAGTGTGTGGGTGGCACCCCCCAGCAAGCACTTGGGAGTGCGGGTCAGCCTGTGCACACCCACCCGAGTGCTGTGTGGTGCCCTCCTGCCCTCCTCCCTGCGGACCCCAGGGAGCAGCTCTGAGGATTCACAGTTATTACTTGTATCCATTTCTTTGGACATTTCTAAAGCTGCTTTGCAGAAACCTCAGACCTTGCCATGCCTCTATTTCCCCTCCCTTTTTTCCAACCCTGGTTTTCCAACCTCGTTTTTTAATTATTTCCAATGAGAGTGATTAGAAATTCCCACCTGTTCAATTCCAATTCCCAAGGAACTGAAAGTACAGACTAGTGTGTAGGGAACTCAAGGCTGCAGTGTAAACATGCTTCAGTTTTGCTCCAGGGATGACACACTTCCTCACGGACAGCCTTTCTTTGCTTCTCCCGGGAGCCCCGGATACCTTGTGTGTAATGACATATTGTGTCATTTTAGAAACCTGCTTTTAAGTACTATTTATAGGTTAATCTGTTACACTTGCAACCTAGTTTTAAAGTACATGAGGATTTTATGAATGCTTTATACAGACACATTTATAGGAAACTCATTCTGTTTTTAGGTGCCATTGACATTGATACCATTTACTTCATAATCAATTGACATTTTGTCCGAATAGAGCCTTATAGTTGAAAATATCTTCATATACTGTCATTTGATCAAATAAATTTCTTAGAAACTATGCATATCTTCCTTTTATTCCTCTTACATATAGCTAGCCGATTTGCTCTGACTCCATGCCTAAAGGTGGGGGTTGGTTCATTTACCCTCAGGTTGTGGGAATTGCTCTGGTTTACAAAGGGGATGATGGTCTTGGGTCAGTTCCACTTAATTTCAAAGCTCTGCCATCTTGGCTGCCTTCAGCCATGACAAGAGGCAGCAAGACAGTGTTGACTGGATGCAGCAATTGAGAAGCCTTCCGAGTTTCACTGTGGGGCTATATAGATTTCAACTTTTTATTCCTCCTCATTTGAACATTCCCTTCTAGTTTCATAAGGTTTAACAACACAAGGAGTCAGAAGATCTCCCCTGGATTTATTCTGTGGTGGGAAAGAGGGACCGTCTTCCCATTCTTCCATCATCTGGCCTAGGAAGTGGAATGGGAGTTTGAGAGCACATCTCTTGCCCCTTAGTAGCAGGTCCTTGGCACCCAACGAACTTGTCCTGATCAGCCCCAGGACCAGACCCAAATGGAAGGGGCATCTTATACTGCCATAAAAAGAATTAATCCTGTTGCTTAATAAGCCATGTCACCTAAACCTAGAGACAGGTGTTGAGCCCTGAACTTCTTGCTGAGCTAACTGTGGAGCAGTTTTCCCTTTTTTATTTTTATTTTTTGCTAAGATATTTATTTATTTGAAAGAGAGAGAGAGAGCACACGAGTGGGGAGAGTGGCAGAGGAAGAGGGAGAAGCAGACTCCCCACTGAGCAGGGAGCCCTACGTGGGGTTTGATTCCAGGGTCCTGGGATCATGACCCGAGCCAAAGGCAGATGCTTAATTGATCGAGCCACCCAGATGCCCTTTATTTTTTATTTTTTATTTTTAAGTAATCTATACACCTAATATGGGGCTCAAACTCACAACCCTGAGATCAAGAGTCATATGCTCCACCAAGTGAGCCAGCCAGGCACCCGCAGCTTTCCCTTTCCTAAGCCTGTGATGTGTGACCTAAGAGTTTCCATCTATGTCCAGTTGGGGGTTTCCTGTGAACAGATGTGGCTATAGCACATCATAATAGGACTTAGCCATGACAGGACTCAGGCATGGGTTTGTGGGAGCAGATGTAGTGAGGGAGAGAGCATCTCAGAGATCTCTGCCTCCAGTTCCTACCGGTGATTCTCTGTCTAGGGACATGGCACAGGACCAGGTTTGAGCAGAAAGACCAAGTACACTTTTGTCATGCTGAGTTTGAGAGGCCTTTGAGAGAGCAGAGAGATGTCAAGTAGATAGTTGGATAAGTAAGTCTGGAACTCCGTGGAGGGGTCTGGGCTGGAGATACAGATTTCTGAATTAAAGATAGCAGCGGTGAGCTTGACAGCTTCCCAATACATAAAGATTTTTCTGATAAGGGGTGTGTGTGTGTGTGTGTGTGTGTGTTTGGTGAGTGGGACTTTTTACTCTCCTATTTTGAAAAGGTATATTAACATTTGGAAATCTATAACTCAGTGAGCTGGTATTTTCTTTTTTCCTTGTTAAAAAAATTTTTTAAGGGCGCCTGGGTGGCTCAGATGGTTAAGCGTC